TATTTTGGTCAGGTGAAACTGTCTGATAAATTTCTTTCTATCAAATTAGGTAACGCATACCTAAGTTACAAAACAAAAACTGACCCAAGGAAAAAATAAAAGCAAACCTTGGAGATTCATTTTTTAATTCTACACAAATGAATATTTATAAGAATAAGTCACCTTATGATCATAGATGATTCAGTGATTTAACAAGCTTAAGAACTATTATGTACAACCAGCTGCTGTCAAAATGTTATTTACTTCCTAGCACCAACTATTTGGTTATTTACAGTTATGTGGAATCAGCACTGCGTTTGTACAGAAAAAAGGTAAGATGGGTTGTCTTCCCATGGTTGCCATATATACAATAAGCAATTTTATAATACTTTTCATTTATAGATCTTAAAACACTCCACAGAGAAAAGTGTCATTAGCCACATTTCACCGAATAGGCACAGAGCTGTTGAGTGACTTGCCTGAAGTCACACAGCGCACCAAAGGCAGAACAAAATTATAACCCAGATCTGACAATCATGTGCCCAATGTATTAGACAGCAAAAAAAAAAAAAAAGTCTTATATGTATGAGAGTTTGTAGAGGAATGTGAATTAGGTGAACTGAAAACTTAAATACTATTATTATATGTATTATGGTAGCACCTAGAGGCCCCAACGGGGATCAAAGCACCATTGTTCCAAGCACTGTACAAACAAACAGCCTTGGTCTACCCTTAAAAATTTAGATCAACTTAGCTATATTGCTCAGGGGTCTGAAAAATTCACATCCGAGAATCATAGTGAGCTGACCTCCATTGACCTAACTATCACCGTTCAAAAAGGTGCGTCACTTACACTGTGGGTCACTTACTACCAAGGAAAAAACCCTTCCATCAATGTAGGAAGTGTCTACACTTTGGCACTACAGCAGCATAGCTATAAAAACTATGTGCCACTGAAACACCCATTGTGTAGACATGTCCACAGTAAGGAACAAAGAGCTTACAAACTAAGGCTCTGTCTACAGTACAGCCTATGTCAGCAAAACTTATATCGCTCGGGGGAGTGAATATTCCACCCCCAAGTGACACAAGTTACACCCACATAAGCGGTCACGTGCATAGCTTCTCTCGCCGACATAGCTTATACTGCTCACAGAGATGGTTTTTTATGCCGATGGAAGAGAGCTCTCCCATCGGCATAGAAAGTCTTCACCAGACACACTGCAGCGTTGCAACTATATCAGTACAGCTGTGCTGCTGCAGCACTGTACATATAGACATAGCCTAAATAAATAAGACAGACAAAGGGTGGAAGAAAAGAAGTGGTAGTATCCCCATTTTACTGATGGGTGAACTGAGGTAAAGAGCTTACATGAGTTGCCCACGATCACATAGGAAATCTGTGGCAGAAAAGACAATTGAACCCAAATTTCAAATCCCGTCCAGCTCCTTACCCACAACACAGTTCTTCCTTTCATATTAATAGCACATCTAAGCATGGTGCAGGCAAAGTTCTCCTCACAGCTGTTGAGGAATTTTTGCAATAGAGTTGCTCCTTCAGTAAACAACATATAAAAGGAATTTCAGGTACATAATGCAAGAGGTACATAGCCTTGACATTTCTGCTGTACTAGAACCAGCAGAGATTATCCTTTCTATCAATGTGTCCTGATCACAAGAATTGCATAAAATCCATCAGCTAGAAATTAGACAGACCACTAAAACAGATTTCTTTCTTGTCTATAAAAAATGTGAACTTTGTATGTGTACTTAGTTGTGTTTTATTCCAAAGTGTACTGAATTAAACTATTTCATATAATCTAGTCCTCCCTGGTCTATTAATTCCCCCCATTCTGCTCCCTCTGCCCTACCAAAACAAAGCATAATTTGAAGTCAGCACATTCACAGATCAGTATCTATTACTGTCATTTCTAACGGAAAATGAATTTGGTTTCAACAGTTCCATTTCTTGTAAGTACACCAGTGAAATGAGTAAGAAGAAAGGCAAATACAGTATCTGCACAATGGAATGGAAAATAAAGTTCAAAATACAATGTAGCAAATACATTAACTCAGGAACTAATAAGGAGGCACTGAAATTACTGAGGTTATAATGCCTTTTGACTTATCTAAATGAAAAGTTAACTGTGGCTTTCACGCCTATTCAATGGTTTTAGTGTTGTTCTTCCATTAAAATGATTTGTGCATAATTCTGTACTTTTTTCTATAAATTATACTCTTACTGATGGATGGCCTCAGTTACTTGTCTAATAATAACTGCTTTTGTCAAGCACTTCCAATAGCCTATATAAGTAAATTTACATTCTGTTTTTCTTTTGCAGATTTTATGATCAAGCAATAATTGACCCAACAGGGGTTTCAGCGGTCTCCTACTGATGAACACTAAAGAAGGTAAATCTCATTTAAAACATTTATATTAGTGTTACTTAACTAAGTAACTTTAACTATGTGATCAATCAGATGCAAGATTCATAAGTCAAAAGATAATAATTCAAATAAACAAACTACATTTTCAAAATATCATTTTGCATTACATCAAACTGGTGTCTCATTTTTCCCTGAAAAGTATTCAACATTTGTTCAGACCAACATTTGTTACTCCTATTAAAAATATTACTCTGTTTTATGTGGTTCAACAATAAGATATATGCAAATCAATACTTTACGCAAATGCTCAAAGTAATATTCACAAACCCAGTACAAGTTTGATAAAATTTACTAACAAAGTTTAGAAAGCTTTACAATCTCAGGGCTACTCACCTTTACGATATTCTTACATGATTTTTACTAATTCAGCTCTCATTTTCTGAATTATGATCTCCCATATTATACATACTAGCTCCTCCTGACTAATCTGAACAGTGATTATTACATAATTCTGGTTTTTTTTAAAGGGCAATAAATTCCTTTTTAAGGATCATTATTACACACTGAGGCTACGTCTTCACTACCCGCCGATCCGGCGGGTAGCAATCGGTTTATCGGGGATCGACTTACCGCGTCTCGTGAGGACGCGGTAAAATCGATCCCTGATCGCTCTGCCGTCGACTCCGGAAATCCACCTCGACAAGAGGCGGCAGCGGAGTCGGCGGCAGCGCGGCAGCGGTCGGCTTTCCCCCGTCCTCACCACCAGGTAAGCCGACCTAAAATACGCAACTTCAGCTACGGTATTCACGTAGCTGAAGTTGCGTATCTTAGGTCGGAACCCCGTTGTAGTGTAGACCTAGCCTAAGTTCATTAAATCAGCTAACAGGAAGAATAGTACCTTACATGTTAATAGCACTTTTTCTCCTCACCCCCACTCTGAAAGATCTCAGCACACATTAGACTGCACAGAAGAGCATCACTTCCCCAACTGAAACGTAGGAACCTTTGGCATAGAAATGTGAGTACTGCACCTACCATGCACTCACAGCACGGAGGAATTTTCTGTTGGAGAGTGGGTTATTAAATATAAATATCCAATTGAAACTACTTAGGAAGTTTTAAGTGAGCAGAATACCAGAGTTGAAATGTAGCCATGACAAGGGACATACAAAAATGTGCTCTTGCAAGAAGTACCAAAGCATCATGGGATCTGTAATGACAAGTTATATGGGCTCTATTTCAGACTTCATCCAAAAGACAACACTTCCAACAGCAGAGGACCATCCAGAACCATGCTGGGCCATTGACTGACTCAAAGGGAAGTGTGCCATCTACGGAATCATCAACACCACTTCCTGTAACCCTGTTTTTATCCTGCAACTACTGATGAAGCCTGTACATGTGTAATGTAAGAGGTCTGGGTTCACAGTGCAAGGTACAATCCTGCAGAAAGAACTAGAAACTTCGGGATAGGAAAATAAATTCCTAAAATGTGATTACACACCCTCAAAGGAAAATCTTCAAGGTTTGGCAGCAGAGTAACAACATTTACTGAAAATGTTCATATTTTTACAGTACACAGGGATTTTTACATTTATTTGTAAATGATTTTATCATGGAAGAGGATAAGCATAAGCTAGTTACAAATTATTGGACTGTTCTGTATGGGTCCATAGTGAAGTGTTACACTGATGAAATAAGGCGTTTAGGATAATACTTTTTTGACAAATATTTCATGTATTAATACTTTTGGCATGGATTGGCATGGAAATTATCACAATATGAGCATATACTTTAAAGGGACATTAAGGTCAAATTTGGTCCATGTTTTATAAAAAAAAATACCCTTTTAAAAAAGCAAAGAACAAATGTTTCTAAAGCTTAAAAAATATATACTTGAATGCACCTAGCAAATGTTAGGGCACGGTACAAACAACAGGAACATTTTTTATATACCAAAATCTTCCCCTATAGTATTTGCAACCCAAACACAGAAGCACTGTGCTAGTTCATTAGAACGGAAAGATGAGATTGACCAGAATCGGACTACAGACAAAAGTGAAACTGACTAAGCTTTTTTGAATATCAAAGCTGAGATAAATGCAGAAGGTAAGTAGATGGCAAGAACAGCGAAAAGTTAAATGAATTTTAAAAGTATCCAGCTTTAGTAAACCAAGGTGTTGTTTGAACAACAGAAATAAGGATTTTTACAAAAAAATAAATTGTACAGTTCCCCAGTAAAATTCTTACCAGAAGTGAAAATTTTTGTATCTAAAATACTGATTATAGACCTAAACATGCACTGAGCTCCGTGTGAGGGAATCTCTCTATCCTTCCAGATTCCCAGTGAAATTAATGGGGCTCAGCACGGGGGTCTAACCACACTCATTGCAGAATGGGGGTTTTATGCAGAAATTTGATATAACAGCATATACATTAAAACAGTAAATAGACATGGTGATCTTTATTAAAGCAAAAGATACATTGATGCTTAGGACTGCACTGCCACACCTATGTAATACAATTAACCAACTTTTTAAAGCAATACAATTCATGTTTGTGCTCTGATAATCTCCCCAACCAGCTATTTTCTCAAATGCATTTCTGCAAGACTTGACATTTATAATACTTACGCATTGCAATATGGTTTCTTTTCATATCCTTTGTAGTTGTTCATGTTTAAAGCCATTTTGCAGACCTCACAATGGAAACATCCTTTATGCCAGTACTGCAAATAAATTTAAATTATAGTTAATTAAAATATGTTTGAAGTTACATTAAGTATTTAAATACAATTTAAGTCGATATTTTTGCAAGTTAGGAGAGGATTTTTACCACTACGATGTTTAATAAGTATTTCTGTAAATTAAAGATTTATGCAACTGTAAGCACTTCTGAAACAACTCCAAATCCCATAAATTCTCTAGTAAAGTGAATGCCAAGATCACAGCAGCTTAACCTTAGTGGAATTATTTAAAGGACACCTGAAGCAGAATTTTTCACATTTTGATTAATACAACATCAATAAAAATGTTTTCTAAAAATACTACATGGATAAAACCACTAATTAATATGGTTGTTGGTATACTAAATATAAACTAAATTTAATACACAGTATAGTATTTTCATCTAACAGCCACTACTCCCTTTCCAGCATGTGTGGGGGTGTCAATCTGGAGCACCCATCACAGTCTTGATGCTTGTACAGTTATGAAATGATCAGGCTTCATGATAACTAATATTAAACAGGAATAATATCAAGCGAAAGGTCATCTCTCTTGCCCTGGTGTGGTTTAATGATCAGTCACAGCAGAATAGTTGCATGATATGCTGTTGAAGCATCTCAAAGCTGCGTCAACCTGGGAAGAAATCTGCTATAGCTCATAGGGGTTTCACCTTTGAATAGAACTTCCTTTAGGGAAAGAGAGAAAAAAAGGACTCTATTATCTATTCTCTAAAACATTGTCCTGTTATAGGCATTAGATTAAGGGCTGTTGTCTGAAACAGTCATAAAACCCTGTTGTGCTTGACTGGTGAATGGGCATTTGAATCTTGATCTCAATTCTGGGCTCCCTAGCATGTATTCATAGCAATGCGTCAGCAGCGGCAGTGCTATGACATGCTAATTACTATCTGCCTATTTCCTTGCGATTAGAAGAGGAGCAGATTCCAGCGCAGTGACAGGCAGAGGTGCGGTACTTTATTTGCAACCTGCAGGTATTTTACACTCCCCCTGTTTTGTTTTGTTTTGTTTTTTAAGCCACATCAGTTAGATCCCTGCAGCAACAGCCGAGCTCCCAGGAAGAAAGAGATACTCTTGCACCGCTTCTCCAAGGCGACTGCCCCCCTCCCCCTAGTGACTAAACATTAACCCTTCCAAACAGCTCCCCCCAGCATGGACGCCTGCTTTAGGAGGCGGTTTGCTGTTTTTCACTCATTTCAGACGACGTACTTAATCCAGCAGGCAAAATGGTGATACTTGGGGAGGGAGGAAGGGAGCACATCCCAGTGACACCCTCATGGTCACCATCCTCAGCCCCACGCTCACCCATCTATCACCTCCTCCCTTGTCCCCATCCCCCCACACGCCTGTCCTCCCCAGTGCCCCGTCCCCTCGGCGGGGCGCCCAGCACCTTATCCAGGCAGTTGACTTTTTCCGTGGGATAGACGACTTTGCCACAGCGGGCGCACTGGGGGTTCATTTTTCAGGCTCCTCGCGAGCGGCGGCGGCGGCTCTGCAACTGGCCCCGGCGGTGGAAGCAGCAATCGGGAGCCGCTGTGGCATCCCCGCCCCGTGCGGGCGAGAGGGCAGCCGAGCCGGGCGTCCTCAGCTCAGGGGCGGCGAGCGGGCGGGCGAGAAGGTCATCGGCGGAGGCGCTGCTCCAGCTGACTGCAGCGCAGCAGCATGTGCGAGTGGGAGGGAGGGGAGCCCGTGTCCCCCGCCTGCCTGCCTGCCTCCACCCTCCTCCTCCGCTCGGTGCCTGCGCTCTGGGCTCCCCGCGCCGACGGGCTGGGTGACTCACGCTGCTCACCGCTCCCGGCGCCCTTCGCCGCGCAGGAACAAGCCAAACCCACCAACGCGCCGCAGCGAGCCAGCCCAGGCAGCGGAGCTCAGCCGGGGCGCCCCCGCGCGGCGTGGGCAGCGACCGCGGCATCTCCGTAGCGGGGCGCTGCCTGCCTGAGGCAACCTGCTGGGCGGCCGGAGAGACCGCGGGGGACAGGGACACTCCGCTGCCAGCACAATGGTCAAAGAGCCTCAACCCCGGCTGGGAAATGATAGCTGGGCCTGTGGCCCTCGCACGCGCCTCAAACACACCTGCCTCCGCCCAGGGGAAAGGCTGAACGCGCGGCTGCTTGTTGGCATTTCATAGTAATACCCAGGGTTGCCAATCCTCCAGGATTGTCCTGGAGTCTCCAGGAATTAAATATGTCATCCGAGGAAACCTCCAGGCATCCGTCCAACCAGAATTGGCACCCCGAGACATACTTTGTATTTCCATAACCTCATTTATGGGGCAACTCAGGGCATTTTACAAAAACTAAGACCCAGAGCCTGAAGTCAGAGCCTGGCCAATGGTTCCTTGAGTGTGTGTGGGTGAAGCTGCAGGATCCCGGCACTCATTATACTGTGACCATCTCCAGTGTATCTAACCACCTGACTGGGGTTGGGCAGAGGACAGAAATTCCCTTTGGCAAAGGATTTTGAAATTGGGAAATATGGCTTTGTTTTGAACTGGAACAGAACTCAAACATTTGAAAATGCTCCTCAAGGGAAAATTTTGGGGAGGATGGAATCATTTTGGATCAGTTCACTCACACTGGTGTGATTGCAACTTTATTTTATATTATAATTTAAATACAGTACAAAAAAGGGAAACAAAGTCATTTCAAAATTTAAAAAATTAAATGTTTCCTTCCCAAAAATGTGGAAATGGGACATTTTGGCACTGTCAGAACTTTTGGTTTTTCTCCAAAATGAAATTTTGGCAAAATTGACACAATTTTGTGAAGCATTTTGATAGAACTGCATTTTCTGACAGAAAATGGTTCTGTCAAAGTTTTTCCAACCAACTTTACACCTGACAAAAGTATGTCAAGCTGTATCAGAGTCCACACATAGGCTATGTCTTCACTACCCGCCGATCCGGCGGGTAGCAATCGGTCTATCGGGGATCGACTTACCGCGTCTAGTGAAGACGCGATAAAATCGATCCCTGATGGCTCTACCGTCGACTTCGGAAATCCACCGCGGCAAGAGGCGGCAGCGGTCGACTTGCCGCCGTCCTCACAGCCAGGTAAGTCGACCTAAAATACGCCACTTCAGCTACGCTATTCACGTAGCTGAAGTTGCGTATCTTAGGTCGACCCCCCGCTGTAGTGTAGACCTAGCCATAGACTTGGGTTTCCTCTTCCCTCGAGCCAGGAATTTCTCTTCACTATCTTATACTTCCCACCCTTTCTGGCCTGACTTTGCTGGGCCTTACTCAGGCTGAGTAGTACTTATGCAGACCATTAGTCCCATCAAGTACTCACATATGTAAGTACTACTCAGCCTGAGTGAGACTAGCAGAATCAGACTCTCTGAGAGTAGGCTTTAGTAATTGATTTTAATCCAGACATTATTAGTGTTTGGGGAATGTTATGGCAAAAGTCTTGCATTTTTGCCTTGAACACAGTCCTCTTTAACAAATTGGTATGCAAACCATCCCAATGGGAGCACTTTATCCACTGACATACAACCATTTCTGGGGTGAAGTACTACAACTCTTCAACAGTACACAGCAACACTCCACCACTTGGTGACAAGAAGTGAAGATGAAGTACATTTACAGTGGAATTTTATTAGGTAGTCAGAATGAAATCAGCTAAACTAGAACTTGGCTATAACTCCTGGTTTAACAGCCCAACTCTTATAAAAGGGGACATGGGATCTTTAATACAAAAAATTACATTCACCCCCATCAATTGTTTTCAAGCATGGGAAGTACTGCCAAACAAATTAAAATTCAGTTTAGAACAGTATACAATAGATACTTACCAATTATGAGGTCACCAATATCATACACCACAAGTGGTAATGATATTGGGTTTCTATCTCCTCTAGCTGTAAATATTTTAAACCTAGTAAAGTAAGAAATGTACAGATGGTGTTTCTGCAGAGAAAAAAAGAGGTGTAGAAAATTGTGTAGATGAATACCATCTCTTCTAACTTTCTTGGTGCAATAGAAGATGGTAAACTATAGCCCAACTAGTGCACCAGTCCTGAAATCTGATCTGTAGGTAATGATACTGCCAATCCCAAAAGTTCAGGAATCAAAATTTCTTTTAATTGAAATGTTTTACAAATTCTCATCTATAAAATCGGTAAATTATAATTACCTCTCCTAAGGTAGAGGCATGAGGCCTGCACAGATACATTAACAGCAGTCAGTGGAACAGCTAGGGCTCTTAGCCAGGATGGGCAGGAATGGTGTCCCTAGCCTCTATTTGCCAGAAGCTGGGAATGAGCGACAGGGGGTGGATCACTTGATGATTACCTGTTCTGTTCATTCCCTCTGGCGCACCTGGCACTGGCCACTGTCGGAAGACAGGATACTGGGCAAGATGGATCTTTGGTCTGACCCAGTAGGGCCATTCTTATGTTTTTAGGTCTTCTGGCTTGCAATTCAGTGCATGTTCCCTTAGGTGACACGGCATTGCATGGAGAAAGGTCCCCTGCAAAAATCATGAAGGCAGGAGTTGTGAAGAGCTCCTACAGCCCAGGTCTTACTGCAGTAAGTTTGCAAAAATCGGCTACAGTGTACACTTTTCTGCCTGCACTGAGTCCCATGGAACACAATGGGGCTGTGTTTGGGCATAAGGACCTGCCCTTGTAGATCACACTTGAGGATGGGGCCTATGTTTGCTACCTGGAACGTGGCTGCTTTTCTGCTTGGGCAGGCAGCAGTTCTCTCAAGTTAAGGCCATTATTGACTTTTTTCAGGGCTTGGAAAAATGATTTTTTCATTAATTCTTGCAGATTTTAATCATGGTTTCTGAAAGTGAGCTGAACGTGGTTTGTCCTGACTTACATGTGCAATTAAACTGTTCTGCACTACTTCAGCTGCACTCACTGTCATCCTTGGGTAATTTTCCTACTATAGAAAGCCTATAGAGGTGGTGGTCTACAAAACATCAGTAGATTAAATACTCAAGAGATTCTAGTCTAAAAGATTATTGTAAAAACTGACATTGGATTTATTGGTAGCGATACTGAGTTTCTATCTCATCTTTCACTGATCTTCAGATCAAATATGCGCCTTTTACAAGTAAAAGGTTGGGACTACTTGCTGAGTAAGGTACTACACTCAACGTAAGGAGAGCAGAATCAGCCTGTTAGACTTGGATATTGGCTAAAGTACATAACAAGTATTTTATAATGTGTGGAGAGGAAGGATAGTCTTGCAGCCAGATTAAGGCCCTGGACAGGGAATATGAGGTGGAGCCTTTAGGTATTACTATAATACTGATAATAAATAATAATGTTGGAAAAGACTTTGTTGAAAGCTGTGGCTATACTTAACTATGTGGAGAGGAGAAAAAATGAAACTCAGATCAGTGGGCACAGGAAGAGCCAATCAGTTTTCCTCCCCCTCTGTCTGAGTTTACTTTTAACCACATAAAAAAGAAACTCCACACAGTTACATTTCCAATAGAAACAATACAACTTTGACATGATTCTGCTTAAGGCTGTCTGGGGTGCTGTTATGGAAACGTGCATTTAAGTTGTCTACTGGGAAAGCATCCACCCTTAGTATAGATCATATACTAGGGTCAGAGGAAATATGTTTCCAACTTTGGTTCTAGACAAGCTAAGCCTAGAGGCTCTATGTTTTCATAGGTAAACAGCAACAAAAATAACACGGTGTAGAAACCATTATTTTCTGTAATATGATTCCAACAGTATGAATCTATAGAAAAATCTTGATAGATGGTTTTATAGATTGGTAACATTGCTTTCTATTTAACTCTTGAGATAGAGCAAGGAAATTCTAAAAGTGGTCAGCCAATCAAAGTTTATCACAGGGCCTGATTATGCCACTTGAGTATTATGCAAAGTGGACATTATAGTTAGCAACAAGAATAACCTTAGCATAGCATGTGAAGAAGTACTGATGGGCAGCCAATCATGTACAGTCAGCAAGCACAACAATAAACAAATATAAAAATCACATCCTAGCAGAACTTGGCACATGCCTCTATAGTACAGAATTGACTGGCAGGAGACACCAACATTTTTCAGAGCAACAATTATAAAGGGACAATTCCGTTATTTTAGGTATGAAGGAGTGAGAATTTCCTATTGCTCATGGGTCTCTCCTTTTCCACTTTCAGGAACACTTGACTAAAATATTCTCCTCAGATTCCAACACAAAACTAAGAGAGATTTGGTCTTTACCTGTGACTGCAGGGATAAAGTAACTGAATTATGACCTAGTAAGGAATAGCCTTGGTCACCTGGAGCACCACCTTCTTAAAGCAGAGGATTGTTAATACTCAGCTCACTTGTCTTGTGCACTGTTGGCTGAACCTGAAATGGCCCATTTACAAATCTGTGAGCATAAGGCATATTCAAAAACTCTTGTAGGTCAAATCCCAATGTGTGTGCCTCAAGCAGCAGATGGGCACAGATTTGCTTTTCCAAAGGAGTGGTGGGACATGCGTAAAGTACATGCACACCAATGCTTGGGTGCACACAAACAAGTGGGACAGCTGCCATAGGCTCAGGGATAGCCATACAAAGATTGTTTTCA